TAATGCTATAATCCAATGTTACTGCTATAAAAACAAAAATTAAAAAAAGAACATAAATAAACTCATTGAAACAACAACAACAAAAAAGAAACTAAATTTGAAATTAATTTAAATTTAAATAGCCAGCTGAGGCCAATGGTTACCATATTAGGTAATACAGCTCTAGTACTCAAGTACGCCCTGCATGAGCATGTGGAACAAACAGCAGGTATGAGACAGAAGTGGTTATTTTAATCATTTGTAGAAACCTTCAAGAAGGCGCAACAGCAGAATTGTGATAGGAGAGTCTCTATCTTTATTTTAAATCAAATTGAAGTTTTACCATTACCCTAGAAGATGCTGAGAAGGAGTGGCAGAAACTCTTTGGGCCTTAATAATAAGGCCAGGAACACTGACCACAGCTGACTGGCTTGAGATTTTCACTTGAAACATGAAATGGCTGATCTCTTGATAAAACAAGGCTTTGCATATTTTCTTTCTGAACACGAGGGAGAAAGTAGACACAGGCTTCTTGATGGCAACTCCTGAGTTTTGCTCATTTTTGTATTCTTAGTGCCTAACACACAGTAGATGATCAGTGAAGATTAGCTGAAGTATTAGATATTGATAAAGATCAACAAACAAATATTAGTAAAGAGAGTTGTGGGCTCAGGCTCTGGAACGGTGTCAGTCAGAATTTGCCTCCCTTAGCTGTATAGTTTAGATTTCTTTGTGCCTCCATGTCCTCAGCTGTGAAAAAGGAAATTATCTGTTCTATTGAGGTGTTGTATTAAATACATTTATTGTTTTAAGGATTATTTTCGGCACTTCCCATGTGATCAATAAATTTTAGTCAGTCTTCTCATTCTCCTCAACATTGTTGTTTTTGTTTAGTTAAAAATTTAGAAATCTCCAAGCATTTTAAAATTTAGTAAAGTCCATCCTTTGATAACTGTCTTTTTGGTATATTAAAGCTTACTGAGTGCTAAAAGAAGTTCTGTCTAGGGATAGAAAAGCTGGAATGAACTTAGTGAAAATTATCAAATGTTATCACCTCAAGTCATTATCAGAAAAATCTGCCCAAATTAGTAATGAGTGTTAACTGTAAAACATTTCAAAGTTCTTTTTTAATTATATAGAGAAAACCATCAAAATTAGCTAAGCAAAGCGTTACACCTAGGAGAATGTTTTGAGAGAATTTCTTTAAAGGAAAAGACAAAATACATCTTTTGCAATATCTGTGTCCATAACATATAGTAAAAGGGGACTTCCAGATCTCTTGGAAACAGTATGTCCTCTGAAGGTATTTTAAGCATTCTTAGACTGTTTTGTGAATCATGCAAATAAGCTCAGGAGAGCTATTTCTCTTCCCAAATTCTAAGAAAAGAGAAGCAGGAACGCCCCTATTCAAATCCTGTATTCCAAAGTTATGGAATATAAATCAATTAACTGCAACTTGGAGTGGTTATACATTAGTGAAAAATAAAAAGAGAAAGCAAATGAAATAACACAATTGATTGCTGAACAATGCTAGCAGCAGCTGTGGTCATACTAATAATCATGCCACAATATTTCATCTTACAAGGTGAGAGAGAGAGAAGGAGTAAGAGAGAGAGAGAGGGAGAGAGAGAAGCCCAAAGAGGACAACTGACTTGTTCTGGTTCACACAGAAAAGTCATCTGCAGATCTGAGGTAAAAATTAAGTCTGATAACTTCTAATTCTAGGCCATTCCATTATACCATACTAGAGGCAGTGTTTGAAGAAAGTCATAGTCCCAAAATTTGTTTATGATTAAGAATGCATTTTCTAAGATTAGAAGAAAACCATGTTTTGAAATGTTCCTGGCTTCCCACGAGCGGACCGTAAACGCTTAACTCTTCCCTCAGTGCTTCAGGCCTTATTTTCTGTATATAATGTGTTTCCAAAGGGAAAAAAGAAAAACACTTCGAATTAAATTCAGACTCAAAGAACACATCTCCTCACCCTACAGCCTGGTTCCTTCTGATCAAAATTGTTGTTCAAACCTGGTTCCCTGAAAAACACAGCCCAATCTTAAGAAAGCTTTTCGAATATGTGGCTCTAGAAGAAAGCAGAGAAGCCTTTAAAGTTCTATGCGATGGTTTGTGATGAATGTCGGGGGCAGTGGAGCACTAAGTGTGGGGTAGTGATTGTGGTCTGCTCTGGGTGCAGGTAATGAGGGGGTACATCCAAGAGAATCAGAAAACAATAATTTAAGGGACTAAAAAAAGGCAGTCTGCTTTCCACAAGCACCACAAACTGGCAACTCTAAATAATGTCAGTGACAAAGGACTACTCTCAAAAATATTTTGTTGGTCTATCTTCTAAACAACTGTTGTAGTTACTGTTGAGATTCAGTATATATTAAATTAGCACATTTTATTACTTATCCTATAATAAACATCGTGGGCTACATGGAAATTAATTTGTGGAACTCTCCATTATACAGCCAGCCCCAGACACACAAATTCAGCTACAAGCTTTTGTTTCATTAGTAAGTTCACAACAGTTTGAAATCCTCTGAGCCCATGAAGGCAGCAGGGCATGCATCCAGCCCGTGGGGCTATATATTTTTTAATGTAAACAATAGATTATAAATATACGATGATAGCACAGAGATCATAAAGATGAAGAAACAGAATTTGAGTTAATTCAATTCTGTCATTCTACGTGACCACTGAAGTTTTTATGCTAAAACAATGAAACAGAGCATGAGCCGTGTAGTGTAAGTTGTGCCTGGTGAGCTCCTGTTGCCCATGTTGGCAACTGGCTAAATGACGCACTCTATGCTGGCTGCCTTCCCTTCCCTGTTTCCTTTTCCCACTCCACTGACCTGTTTCCTTCACCTCTCCTAAAACCTACCTGCCCTTGAATCCTTGCTGAGAGTCTGCTTCTGATAGAAGCCAAACCAGAGCACACCACAGTAAGCCTATGATGCCTCCTATAACTACTCCTCCTGTTCCTGAAAGAGAGAGAGCTTACATGGAGCCTCTCTCCTGTACACTCACCCCAGGGGTTTCCCCATCTCAGGCCCTACGGGAAAGATGCAGGAGGCCAGCGTACAAGGGGCAGTGCCTGGAAACAGGAAGGACTGCATTCACCTTCGCCTACATTTAGAGGAAGTCCCAAACACAACCAGCCTCCTAACGCTGTTCCAGCTGCAAATAACAGAGCTGAATCTGGAGATCAAAAATCGTGCGCAAAAGGCATCGAAGAGCATCGAGTTATGTATCTTGTCTTCTTCCTTTTCCACCTCCAGTCCTGGCACAGCTGGCTAGTGCAAGCCTACAGTGAGTCTCAAAATGAGCATTAGGATCGGACTCTGGAAAAAGATTTCTGATGTAGGAAGGGAAATACAGGGATCAGAAAATGCAAGCAGCAGCTTGGAGGGAAGGGGCGTGGCTGCAGCCCTCAGACTAGGCTGAGGTTTGGAGGGGACCCGCCAATAAAGGGATTCAAAAGGGATTCAAGTAAGGGAGACAACTACATTCACTGCCTTAACCTCTCACTCGAGATGGTTATAGCAGTTCTCAGCTCTGCCTGAACAACACTTGTGAGACTTTGTGTTATTTTCTTTTCCCAAACACTATAGCTTCTTATTATATTATAATCATAGTCGCTGGATATAGGAAATATATTTTTATATACACAAATATATATTTATATTTAAAATATATTTAGAGAAATATAAATATATTTACAATTTTATATTCATAAAATATATGAATATATATATTTAAAGCATCATGGGTTAATATATTTTTAGAGATCCATGAGTAATTCTGACACACAAAGCAGAGATGAGGACCATAGAATTGGAATATGAAAAATGTTGACCTGTTTTGACATAATCAAATAAGTAATTTCTCTTTGCTTCTTAATCAGGCGTTTCTGGTAAGAATTCAAGAAGGACATCCAAATCCTTGATAAATTAACTCCAGCCTCTAAGAGTATGGTTTATTTGTCAAAATTGATCCCCCTTCAAAATAAATGTGTTTCTCTGTTATTATGCGGAATGATCAAGAATTCTTGAGAAATAAATGGACTTCCAATGATGTTTGTGCTCTCACAATTATATTGTATCCATGAATAATGTATTTGCGTGAGTAAACACGGGGCAAATCTGTGTGGTATAGATTCTGATTTGGGGTCAGACGCTTCTCTGTGTTTCTCAGCCTCTGAACTCATGAACTCTTCCTGACTACATTTCATGTTGTATGCAGGAGGAAGATATGTGCTGAAGAAATTCTTCTCCATCTGCAATTACTTCCTTAGAGCCTTGAAGTCAATACTTAAATATGACTAGGGCAGCACAATGATTGGTCAATAACTCAGTCAACATACACCTGCGATATTAACTCAGGGTATGATTCACGAATGATTCTCTTCCTATTGTAATTGCTGACAGAGTCCTGGCAATGAACCCAGTCTTTCAGAGAAAAGCTGATATTAGGCCAAAGTGATGGATAAAATCTCAGGCAGGACATAAATATATATATATATATATATATATATATGTACATTTATTATCTATATAAATATCTAGATAGAGATATACATAGTATGTACTCTATATTTATCTAGATAGATAGGTATAGACATGAATATATAATCTCTCTCTCTCTATAGATATAGACATAGAACAGGTGTATGGAATTCAAATATATTGGGAAAGTATTTCTTCCTGACTTAGCAGTATTTTCTGCTTTATCTCCTTTATCTCCTTTATAACTTTATCTCCTAATGTTTCATAAGATACACACATACATATCCATACATGCGAACACATATACAACATGGCACTGGAGCCCTGGAAAGCCTCCTTTGCCCCTATGTAAATGACACTTTGCATGTCATTTTTATTTTTTAATGGTTAATGAGCTCCACGTAATAATTGCCAGTTTTATGCCACCCCTATGTCCCCTGCTGCAAAAGATCTAATCTATTCGGAGGAAGATAATTGCAGAGCTGTTGAGACAGAAAAGAAATTGCTGTATCTCACCACTGTTGTGCGCCTCCAGCTGCGAGGCAGAGTTGACAGCAACCTTGCATAGCGAACAGTAAAGAAGTCGTTTTGCCTTTTCTTCCTCAGTCTCCGTGGAAGGACATGAGCTATTGCCAGTGGCTGTCGTGGGGCTTTTTTCCACTTTAGAGGTGATCTCAGTTGTCATAACACTGTTTTTGCGAATTTCCACAGTTGTCGTTGTTGATATTGCTGGTGTCCCTGCGGTACTGTCTGCATTCAAAATAGCATAGAAAAAAAGAGGAAAAAACAGTGGCATTATCTTTCCATTTTTGGAAATGTATCACTAATATTACATTCTGCTAATAACGATACTGCTTGTCAACTATGACTCAATCATTTCATGAGGAAATTCACATAGATGACCACATGTAGTTTCATAGACTGATACAAAATATTCAGACAATCCGTGAAAATATGCACAAATGCACTTTAAATGTTTTCTATGGGGTAAATAAACATACCTATAAATTTTTCTTGTTAACACATAGCTTTAGTAAAATAATGTTTACAATGTATTGTACTTTGTGTATACATATTTCCACACAGATGGCTTTTTTAAAAATAAAATAGATGATAAATGTTTTTCAGGTATTTTTAATTTTCTTTACTACATGTCTTTTTATTTTCCTTCTATATTTTTTCTTTAATTAAAAAAAAGCAAGTATGATCCTTTTGTATAGGTTTGTGAAAAACAAAAAAGAAAAAAATTGAACTTTGATGACATATTGCTTTGTCCAGATTGACAGTTTAGAAGCCCTATTTACAAAGAGATTCAAATTCAACACCAGGTACAACAATCATTAATATACAAATAAGAGGAACTCTAGTCTGGCATATTTATTAAATGCATGCTCTGTACCAGACCGTGTTCTGAGAGTTTGTGACAGTATTCAAACATCAATGGCCGCTCTTTACAAGGAATTCACAGACCAGTCACACCATGTTAATGTCGTATCATTTCAAGTGTTTGATGACCACCAAAGTGTTGATGTGCTGTAACCTTACAACGCTTCTGGCTCCGAAGTCTGATTCTAAATCTGGAGAGGTCAACCTCTAAAGTCAAACTATCTCATCCTAACTCACTTGGGTATACACAGCTCTCATTCCAAATATGCCAATTACCATGATGTTAGCCATATTTGCCATATCCAATAGCAAATTGCAAATGAGCCCTATGCTCATGTCCTTTCTACTCTTATGCTATTTTTTCTGCCTCTCGGCTGGCTGGTTCTTAACCTCTTATTCAAAATATTCTCAGGCTGTCTCTCCAGCTACAGCTGCTCTTGGAACTGTTTCTCATTCCATATGCTGCTGTGGTCACTATCTAATGCCACACTGAAAAGTCCGTGATAAATGGATTGGGCAGTAGCTATAAAGGACAGTGGTCTGTCTGCAATGAAGGGTTGTCCTCATAAATGTCTACTTCTTGTTAGCTCATGCTATCAAGAGTTGAGCACAGTTACAGGATGGCTTTTAACTTGTATATGGCCTTTGATCCAGACATAGAGGTGTGAATATGTGAGATTGGTTATGGCTTCTTTCCCAAACACGGCATCAGAAACACTAGTCAATAAGAAGAGAAATGGGCTCTTGTTGAGAGGGCTGTTATATAAAACAACTCATCTGGATCTTATTTCCTTTACCTCACACTTCACACACTTTTAATCACTTATTTAACTGCAAAGATCATCGAGTAAGCCTCCTTCAGCGTCATGGAGAATTTCCACCAACACGTAAAAGAAAAAATCACACTGCTGATTAGTCTCTCATGGCTGGAGAAAAATAAATAAAATTACTCTAACATCAAGTTTTGCCACCAGAATACATTTAATCCCTTGAACACTGAATGGCCCATTTCCTGATTAGTTTTTACTTGCCTACTAAGATACGAGGATTAAAATATCAGCTAATAGCCATAAAATATTTCTGAGAACCTAGATATGCCATGAAGCACAAGGACTGCTCTAAGACAGTCTGGTAGCTGTTCACTGCTCCCAATAAACCACAAATGATTGTTTGAAGGCAAGTGCATGTGTGTCTGTGAATAAATAACAAATGCTCAGTTAATTTGCTGTTTTATATGCATAATTTTATTTAACCTTCACACAAACTTGTGCAATAACGAAACATTGGAGGTTAAGGAAATTTCCCAAGGTCACACGAGGAATTTATGGTGAGTCAGGACAAAGTATTTCATGGAACAAAGAAATCAGGGATTTTGGAAAAAAAATTTTTTTGAACAATACTCTTGGCCATGATTGTGATTCTCCATAGTAAGGTCACAAACGGCAGTGGGCTAAAATCATTAAATTATCTTATGATCAGCTCTATGGGGTGTGATGACCATAAATGCAGATATGTCTAAACTTAGTGTGGCCACATACCGGAGCCAGAGTGTGATACTGCGGGCATGTATTTCATTTAAATCTAAGTAAGGATATCTCTAGAAATACTGTACTTCTAACAACTTTTCCTCCGGATTGACAATGTTTATTTTATGCTTTAAAAATCTGAAAATTGTTCATAGTATAGATCATAGTAATCCTAAACTAACTTCCCTATTTACAGTGACATTCAGAGCAAAAGTATACAATAAACAAAACATGATCTTCTACCCCCTGTGACAGCTACATTAGTGTCATTCCCAACCCCAGAGGATAACGCACATTTATACCAAAGACGCTGCAAGATTAGAGATGCCGGATTCTCTATGCCTATGGCTTAGTGAAGTATTAACATTTCTTAAGGCAAGTCCCTTGCATGAGACAGGCTTAGGGGAATTAGTATCAAAACGCTTAACTTCCCGGAGCTTCTACGTTGTTGCATCCTTCAGACCACATAGCTGAGCACAGATCTGTTATTTTGTCAAGTTTGCAGTCAATTTGAAAGAAATACAAACAGTTCTATTTCCATTTTAAATTTAATGTATAGATCTTGAGTCCATAAAGGTAGGATTACTATTGATTTATAACAAGACATGGATTTTTCACTTACTATTCATTTATCAGTGGTGCAGGGGAAAGAAGTAAGGTAAATATATTTTAAGATTATGTGGTATTCAAAGAGAATCAACTATTTTATACATTACATAGAAAATTACACATAGCAAAGAGATTTTCCTTAATATGGTACAGTAAATTACCAATTATACATAATTCTTATCCACTTGTTAAAATAGAATCTTAAGCTGGTGACACGTTAATAGTGTACCCTTGATAACGATGTGGTAGGAATTACTTCTGTGATCTTCCTCCTCAAAACTCATAAGCCCTGTCTAACCAAGAGAAAAGCATAAAACAAACTTAAATTTCAGGACATTCTACAAAATTCCTGACCTCTGGTTCCTAAAACTGTCAAGGTCATCAAAACAAGGAAAGTCTGGAAAACTGTAACATCCAGAAGATTCTAAACATAATGTGGTACTCTAGTTGGAACCCTGGGGCAAAAAAAAAAAAGGACATTAGGTAAAAACTTGGAATATCTGAATGACGTATGGACCTTAGTTGACAATAATCTATCAACATTGGTTCATTAGTTGTGACAAATGCACCATAGCAATGTGAGATGTTACCAACAAGGGAAAGTGGGTGCAGGGTATACGGGAACCCTCTGTAATACACTTGCACCTTTACTGCAAATCTAAAACTATTCTAAAACTAAAAGTTTATTAAATTTAAGAAAAATAGAATTATAAGCAGTTAACAAATAGTGCATCATTTCAGTTACTTTGTAGAATCATAGTCAGAAGGGATCTTACTGATTTCATAGTATAGCTTTCTTGGTTTTTAGCTTAAGAAATTTCAGTAAATGTTTTCAAGGTCACATAGAACTCGAGGGTAGAAACTTGGACTTGACATTGCGTCTCCCAATTCCAAATCCAGTATTTGTTACCCTACTTCGCAATGACTCATGTATTCAAATTTGTTCCATCAACATTTGTTAAGCAGTTATTTTGTGCTAGGTTCTATAGTAAGCCATTGAGGATGAAAAGGTCAATAAACATCCATCATGTACTAAGCGGTTTATGAGACATCCCATTATGACTTGAAATAATAATAATAGACTTAACAATCCTTAGTCAGTTTTGCTCATTGCTATATCCTTGCACTTGTACTTGGCACGACAAAGGCACTCAATATTTATTGAAAGAAAACCATGAATGAATGGACAGCAATTATAGCTGATGATTGTAGAAACACTTTTAAAGCATTTACAGGTATTAATTCAATCCTCATAAAAACCTAAGAGGGGCATTCCATTTTTATCCCCATCTTAGAGAAGAAATTGAGGTAGGAAGACATTTGGAGACCTTCCCAATGCCGGAGCTGCCAGCGGTAGTGCAATGATTTGAACTCAGACAGTCTGGCTCAGGAGCTCATGCTCTTCATTTATTTATTTTACTGATAAAATTTTGATTTTTTCATAAAAATAATTGACTATCTCTCTTTCAATTAATTCAAGTTGATCATGATTTATTACACATTTGATGATAACATCTTAAAAATGTGACTTTAAAAGAAACTAACCATGATCGGAGCTAGAGTCAATCATGTGTCTCGTCACCCATTTATGCTAAAGTAGTGAGTTCCTGGAATCCATTTAGCAAGACGGGAGAAAAAAATCCTACAGCTCTCAAATAACCTCTTGTGCAAAATCATAAGACTAACGCACAGGCCTTCCTTAATGCACCTTTTTCTTCTGTTTTTTCCCAAAAGATGAGAAACTAGAATAATGATTCACTTTTCTGAATGTTTCTCAAAGGTGGATTCGATTTCTCTGCACTATTCAGTCAATGACTCCGTAAGAACAACATATGTGACAGGGAGTCAAAATACTGGGTGCAGTTCAGCGGGAAGAGAAAGCCCTAAGATGGTTTGGGTTTGTATTTGTGCACTGTTTTCCTACTAGCACCTGTAGCAAATATTCACTATTGCAACTGTCACTATTTGGCTTTGGCATCAAAAATATTGCCAATACTTTGTGGGACTTTCATTGAGAACGAGAGGGAACTTGTCAGTATTGAGAGTGGCCCATTTGTGGCCCTCATCCTTATAAAAAAGCACTGTAAATACTTAAAAAATAGTCCATAAAGCAAAAGAAAAGATTGCAAAAAATAACAACTTGAATTCCAGATAATAAAATGGAACAGCCAAGTTACATGGTCTGGGTAAGAAATTTATTCTCCTCGTTACAGATCTCATAACCCAAGT